CCGGGGGGGGGGGTGCCAATGGGGGGGTGGGGTGGGGGGGGGGGGGCGACAGTGGGGGAGGGGGAGCTGGGAGGACTCAGACTAACCCAACGGCTGAGCTGGGATTCAGATGCAAATCTGACACCATCAGAAGAGATCTGATCAGCGGTTCCCAAACTTTTCGGCATCCCGCCCCCCTTTTTGATTTTTGAGAATCCCTCGTGTCCCCCTCCCCCAATAGCAGCAAAACTTGAGGAGCAAAAAAGAAGAAAAAAAAAGGAAGTGACTGGGGCCGAAAAACAAAAATAGCAGCAAAACTTGGGGGGGACGGGGGCTGGGGCACCTTGTGCGGCCCCTGGAATTTCTTCACGCTCCCCCCCCCCACATGCTCCCCACTTTGAGAACCCATGGGGCATGGAACAGCTCTCCGTTACAAGAATTTCCCCTTCAGGTCCCCTCAAAAAAGAAGAAAAAAAAAGGAAGTGACTGGGGCCGAAAAACAAAAATAGCAGCAAAACTTGGGGGGGACGGGGGCTGGGGCACCTTGTGCGGCCCCTGGAATTTCTTCACGCTCCCCCCCCCCACATGCTCCCCACTTTGAGAACCCATGGGGCATGGAACAGCTCTCCGTTACAAGAATTTCCCCTTCAGGTCCCCTCACCTTCTCATCACCACTAACAGTGCCAAAGGTCCATCCAGCCCAGCGTCCTGTCTGCCTGCAGTGGCCAACGCCAGGTGCCCCAGAGGGTGTGAACAGAACAGGGAATCATCCAGTGATCCCTCCTCTGTCGCCCATTCCCAGCCCCTGACAAACAAAAGCTAGCGACACCCATCCTGGCTAATAGTCATTGATGGACCTAACCTCCATGAATTTATCTAGCTCTTTTCTGAAGCCTGTTAAAAGTCCTGGTCTTCACAACACCCTGGGGCAAGGAGTTCCACAGGTTGCCTGAGCACTGTGTGAAAGAAAGACTTCCTTTGGTTTGTTTCAAGCCTGCTCCCTATTCATTGTCCTTGAGTTCTTACGTTATGGGAACAAGTAAATAGACCTCGAGTTCTTACATTATGGGAACAAGTAAATAACTTTTCCTTATTCACTTTCTCCACCCCAGTCATGATTTTATAGACCTTGATCAAGCGGATTGTTATTCTTTAAGGTGCCACTGGACTCATTGTTTTTGCTGAAACAGAATAACACAGCGACCCCTCTGCAATGAGGTGTCCCTTTTTCCCTTTGGAAGATATAGTTACCCTGCGTTGGGGGTCAGGCTGGCGCCTGGGCTTTCAGACCCGCCCCCTCGCGGGAGCCACTGTGAATGCTCCCTTTGTATATATAGTACCAATGCTTGACAATCTGTTCTAGCATATATTTAGCAGTGGTGCTCAGAGAACTTTTCCCCGATGTGAGGGAAGAGCTCTGTCTTGTTTCTCAACCACAGAAGTTGGTTCAATGAAAGATATTACTCATAGAAGTTGGTTCAATAAAAGATATTATCTCACCTGCCTTGTTTCTCTGTTAACCTGTGTTGCTGATGCAGCGCTTCATGGGAGTTGTAGTTCCATGTCCCTCGTGGCCCAATTCTTTTTTATGGGCCTGGCTCTCCAGTCAGACGGCATCTCCCATGATGCACTGCAGCACCTCACTGTGGCTGAGCCCTCGCGACATAGGGCCAGGAATAGAGACCACATCTCCTGACTCCTAGTAGTGACCTGTACACTAGACCATGAATGCAGTTCAAAGCACTGGCCAGTAAAAGTCATGGTGGCAGAAGTGGGATTAATATATGTGGGATCCCAATTTCTGGACCTTGCTGTTGCCTTCCCTAGCCAGATCTTCAGCTTCTGACATTATAACTACAGCTTTCCCCCAAGTGCTTTTACTCAGCCCTGACATGAAGACCTCACACTGTCTGCATGAAACTTATTTCTATTCAGCTTGCGACTCAAAACTCGCTGGAAGGAGCAACAACTCCTCACCTGGTTTTTCAAGTTGTCGATTTCAGCCTGCAGTCTGTGGATCATGCGGTTAAGCTCTGTGATCTCGGTCTTGGTGTTGCGCAGTTCATCCCCGTGTTGCCCCGCGGTGGCCTGCAGCGACTCGAACTGCGAGACACAAGAATAGCTCCATAAAAGAAAGCCAGGAGCAGCACCGTCAGTCGCGCAGCTGGCTGCTCTCTATGGTCCTTCACACACTAGAATCAACAGAATCCTACAACTGGAAGGGCCCTGAGGTCTCTCCCAGCCCTGGGATTGTATAAACCTGAACCTCCCTTGCTGCAATTTAAGCCCATTGCTCCTTGTCCTAGAGCCATCACCTTTTAGATACTTGCCTCTCCAGATGCATCTTAACAGCTGAAGCTCCTAATTCCCCTAGTTCCAGCATCACTCACCTTCTTTTGGTACATGGACTCTGCTTCTACTTGGCTCTTTTTGGCCATGTCCTCATACTGTGCTTTGACCTCAGCAATGATGCCGTCCAGATCCAGGGTCCGGGTATTGTCCATGGAAAGGACCACAGAGGTATCAGAGATCTGAGTCTGCAGCTCACGAAGCTCCTACAAGTTACATACAAAAAAAAAAGGCAAAGTCTCTGTGGGTGATTTTTCTGTCTCAGTTGCGCTGCCTGGTTGCTCTCTGCTACTCTGAGGTTTTGCTTTGCAGAGATCAGACCCGAGAAGTGAAGGAAAGGAAAGGAGAGAAGAGGGAACCCGTCCAGTCATGAGCCAGGAAGGAATCCAACGGAGTGTCACTAGCTGCCGGAACGGATCATTCCCGATGGTGCACATTTTTTTTTTTAAAGCAGAAGGTGAGTCCGGTCTCCTAACTCACCCCACGTCGAAGGGCCTCGGGGGGCGGAGAAAGGATCCCACCTGGGATGGGAAGGGCCAGACACACATTTCATTCACAGCTTGGATCAGAGTGTGGGACCGGACCCGACTTTATTACGGAGTTAGGGCCGGATGCTGCCATCTTAGCCCAGATGTAAAGCGGGGGTGAGCCGCTGCATTTACCTGCACCTCGGCAGGGACGGGCGATCGCAGCTGCACCTGGCTGGGAATGGCGATCCGCAGCCATCGGGAGCAGCGATCCCCCCACCTGCAGGTTAATACAGTGGGGGGGATGGGGCCTGATCCAGCCCACAGGCCGGTATTTGCCCACCCTGATGTAAAACAACTCTGGCTGCTTTGATTGACATGCCATGGGAGGGGGGGGGTGCCTTACACGCAATTCAAGCTCCTTGGTTCCTAGTCTCCTGTATAGACCAGGCTCCCTCGTTGGACTTCATCTCCCATGATGCACCACTGCTTTGGGAGTGCTGTAATGCACTGCTTTCCCCGAGGAAGGACCGTGGTGCATCGTGGGAGATGCAGTCCGACTAGGAGAGTCTGGTTTGTAAAAGAGAATGAGTCCCATGATGCGCTACAGTTGCATTTCGCAAACAAAAAGTTTTGGGGGGAGGGGCGTGGCCCAAATAATTTTTTTCTAACATGCAAAACTTTCCACAGACTCCCTCCCCCCCGCCTCTGCGGTTTCCAATCAGCGCTGCCAGAAATGCAATCCAAAATAAATCCTCAACCCTATAGGTCTTCTTTCAGCGCCTGGGTCTTTCCTCATCAGGGACAGAAATCACTGCAGGAGATTGCAGCAGGCCCTGCAAGCGACACGTCACCTGTCTTATCCTCAGGCTTCTGCCAGAGCAGCCTGGGGCTGTATTTTATAATACGGGGGAGGTGAGGGGGTAAATATAGCACTCCAGGGCTTCATTTTTGAACAGCCCTGAAGAGTTCCTCCCAGTCTGAACTTCCTGCCCACATGCACAAGACCCGATCCTCCTCCTCACGGCAGTATAAGTCTGTTATCTTCCAGGAAGTTATTCCCAAGGGATTCTTGTTTTAAGGGAGAGAAGAACCGGGATCTATCCAACCAACTGTCCATGATCTTTACAAACCATCATGCGACCCACCAAGCCTCCTTGATGGAGTTAGACAGACTTGAGGCGTCTGTCGATCCGCGGAGTCCAACCGCTTCGGAAACAGTCGCCACTCTAGTGAACTAGCCCCACTCAACCAGCCAAATAGCCATGTGGCTAGCGGCTCGCGTGTTGGACACCACGGCTATAGATGATAGAGAGGAAGGCCACTTACAGCTTCGTAGAGAGACCGCAGGAAGTTGATCTCATCCATCAAGGCATCTACTTTGGCTTCCAGCTCCACCTTGTTCATGTAGGCGGAGTCCACATCCTGAAAAATATTCAGATCCAGTGAGAGCATGTTTCATCAATAATCAGACTGATTATTCAGATTCCCAGATGAGGATTTCGCTGTTGCCTACATTCAGGGCAAGCAATGTTCCCTCTAATCTTTTCAATCCTTGGGCTGATTCTTTTACACCTATGTGTGGAATCAATTTTGTTTGGTGCACCGAGGTGTGTGCAAATGTGCACCCACCGGAGACCCACAAGTCTCGCTGTGGGCGTGCTGCTGGTCAGCTGGGCGGCCCTGGAATTTCTCCTGAGCGCCCGGCTTCCAGGGAGCCCGTCCCTTTGGAAAGCAGCCTCTGCGGTTTCATTTGAAAACTGCGCCGCTCACCTTTTTGAGGATGACAAAGTCGTTTTCCGCCGTCGTGCGCTTGTTGATTTCATCTTCGTACCTGTCGGGAGGCAAGGGAGTGACAGTCGTTAGAGCACACGCCGGTGGGGGATTTTCGGGCACAAAGTCCAGTTGTGAAAACAGAAAGTGTTCCCTGGGTCGGATCGATCTCCTGAGTCGAGGACTTTTTTTGTTCCTTTTTGGTTTTTAATTTTGAAATTGCAGAAATGGGGCTGCTTGATGGGAGCGACGAAGATTCCGTTCTCCGGTCAATGTGCCCTTTTGGGTTGAATTTTATTTACCTTAAAATGCTTTTTTTTTTTTTTTAAAGGATGTTAAAACCGTCGACATTGAAACCGAGTTGGGTTTTTTTCAGGTTATCCATTTGGGATAATAACTCTGAGATTTTGACGCTTTGTTCTGATTTGGAAGCTGGGGGGAGGGTCTCAAACGTTCATCACGTGGGAAAACAGTTTACCCCCCCTCCCCAACACACACATCAGTCCCCCACCAAAACACCACAGTGTTGATCCTGTAGCCTCTTGCTCTGTTTGAGAATCATCTCCAATTAGAGTCGGATTCCCCATGCTGTGTTTGCCATTTGAAATCGTTTGCTGCAGGTGCTGCACCATTTCAAGTGTGGTGAGGCAGGCGCATAGATTTATAGATTTGTCCCCTCCCTGATATGACTCTGATCTTCCATTCTTAAGGCTCCCCCAGAACCAGCCTGAACCCCCCACCCCCTGTCCATGAGCCCCGAGGTTCACACCCTCCAAATGTAAGCAAAACATCCTTAGCCCCAGGCCGGCGGACATCCATGATGGAATTGCCATTTACATCAGCTTTGGGACTGAGCCTGGGTCTGCCTAGCCAGACCGCCAGTGTAAATGTCAGGTTATGCTGCGCACTCAAGAAGGACACATCCTCAGCTTGTAGAAATTGGTGCAGCTCCACAGAGCCACACCCAGTTCCACCAGCGGAAGATTTGGTTCTGGAGAGCAAGTATGCAATGCTTGAAATTCATGCCGTGGGGTTGCGACTGGGCACACAAGCAGGGAACAGCCAAAGGCCATATGGCCTTGTATCTTGTCTTCCAACAGTCGCCAATGCCAGGTACACACCCAGTTCCACCAGCAGAAGATTTGGTTCTGGAGAGCAAGTATCCAATGCTTGAAATTCATGCTGTGGGATTGCGACTGGGCACACAAGCAGGGAACAGCCAAAGGCCATATGGCCTTATATCTTGTCTTCCAACAGTCGCCAACTCCAGGTGCCCCAGAAGGAACGATCAGAACAGGGAATCATCAAGTGGTTCCTCCCCTGTCATCCATTCCCAGCTTGTGACAGATGCTAGGGACACCATCCCTGCCCAGCCTGGCTAATAGCCATTGAGGGACCTATCCTTTACGAATGTATTGAGCTCTCTTTTGAACCTTCTTAAAGAGCTGGCCTTCACAACATCCTCCAGCAAGGAGTTCCTCAAGTTAACATGATAGAAATGTAGCCGTGTTAGTCTGGGGTAGCTGCCGCAAAGAAATCCTTCTGTTTGCGTGTTTTAAACGTGCTGCCTATTAAGTCACATGCTATAGTTTTCGTTGCCTGTTTGGATGAGCAATAACCCATGGAATCAGGTGTCTGGGGCAGTCACAATTTCTTCCCCAGGATATCCGCTAGAAGCAAACATTTAGTGCAAACAGGGTGTGAACTGTTACAGCAAATTCACACAAACACTATTTCCTCCTCCTCCTTATCATTACTATGATGCACCTCATTCTACTGCGATTTCAAAGCATTTTGCAGGTGTTGATTAGTCCACAAGGCCCTGGCAGAAGGTACGTACGTTCCCTTTCACAAATGGGGAAACTGAGTCACAGAGAGGTTATGGCTCTAATTCACATTCCCCATTTTTAGTAGTAGTTGTTTGTATGACAAGGCAACCAAACTATATTGATGCCAGATGAGGATCTGCTGAATCGAATGGAAGCTTTTCAAATTCTCTGTGCACAGGTCAAGAGAACGCCTCTATAGGAGAGACAATAAATCAAACCAGGGGAGAGGGGGAAGAAACATCCTTTCGCCAGGATACAAGGCGACCCCCTGTAGTCTTTGTGGTATTTCACCGACACGCCCCTCTGCTGCACCCCACAGGGATTACCCGTTATTGACTTTTCTCCTGTTACTCCCTGATGTTTATCTGCACTATTTGCAGTTCCTGTTTGTGCCTTTTATTTTTTACCCCCCTCCCCCTCAGATGGGCGCGGCCCGCGGTGAAAGGAGCCAGAAGTGTTTGAGTTGGACTTTTCCCAAGAGATTTGATTCTGACCCAGAAACCCTTTGCTAGAGCTTGCAAGTCATTTTCCCCTCCCTTGTTTCCACGGGACTATTTCGATGTAACCTTACGGATCCTTAGGGACTTACATGATAGGTAGCATTGCCTACTGGAGCGCGCTCAGAATTGGAACTGGGGAGACTTGGCTACGGGGAGACTTGGCGGGGTTCCTCCATGGTGGCCCTTTGGCAAACTATTTCACTGGCCGTCCGTGCCTCAGTTTGCCCATCTATAAAAGGGGGTTAATAATACAGGCCTCCTTTGTGAAGTGCATTGAAATCTGCTAGTAAGAAGTGCATGATAAGAGCTCAATATTATTATTTTTAGCAGCTGATTATGTATATGTATATGCATATGCACATGTATATGGATATGTATATATATATGAAATTTGGCATTTTATATGATTATGTTGTGACATTATCAAAGCAGAACGCTGGAGTGTCTTTCAGGTGGAAACAGTTTTGAAATCACCATTCCATGCAAAACTTAGAAAAACTTCTGCCTCTTTGCTACAATTCAGACCAAAAACACGGTCTGAAAGGTCGGCATTTTGCTCCACTCCCAGGATGGGAATTCTGTTTCTTGACTGGCTTAATGCAAAGGCTTTGTTTGCAAAACTTTCTCCATGGCTCCAATCTATCTGCCTTTCCTTCCAGAGAGCCTTTCTCATCCCTGATTTAATAGAGGTGGAACCTCTCTAGTCCGGCAACCTCCATGGTCCGGCATGATTTCAGTTCGCCAGCTGTCCACTTAGCGTGGGAGTGGTCTAGTCTTCTGCAATCCCTTAAAGTTTGTTTTCAGCCCCCAGTCCTGGCTCTCAGAGTTCTACGCTGTGACTTGGCTCTAATTTACCCTGCAAAGTCTTCTCCGGGCCCAGGAAGCCGTGGCAGGATTGGTAATGCTACTAGGCAATATTGGCCTCCCATGGTCCGGCAAATTCTCTGGTCAGGTCCTGCGGGTGCCGGATTGGAGAGGTTCCAGCTGTAATTGTGAATCGGCCAAAAGCCGACGACCGACGACGGAGCTGGAAATCGGAATGCGCCATCTCAGTGGCTTTGGCACTCGGAAAGGGTCGGTTTTACAGAGCTGCGTTGCTGGCCACTCGTGTGTACAAGCAACAGAAAGCAACGACTGTCCCTGCTTGTAAGCTATTTCCCTGCCTGAGAAAGGATCCCCCCCGGGAGAGTTCCCTTTGCAAGGATGCCAGACGGCTCTCCGGCCCTCCCCTCCCCGCCACGCCCTGTCACACAATCAGATTGTACGTTACTTGTTCTTGAAATCCTCCACCAGGTCCTGCATGTTCTTCAGCTCCCCCTCCAGCCGCCCTTTGTCGTTCATCAGCCCGTCCAGCTGCCGCCGGAGGTTGCCGATGTAGGTCTCGAAGAGCGGGGCGATGTTGCTGCGGGTGGCCTTCTGGTCCTGAAGCAGGCTCCACTTGGTCTCCAGCATTTTGTTCTGCTGCTCCAGGAACCGGACCTGCCAGCCGGGAGGGGAATCTTAACAGGGAGCCAAGCGGCCCCCCGGCCCGCAGCTGGGAGAAGGCACTATGGCTGCAAGAGCCTCATTGTAGGACAACGAGAGAGCCCCGTGACCTGTGGGTGGATTCGAACCGTGGCCCTCTGGAGCTTCGTGTGGTGGCCTCTGTCCCCTGAGCGAAAAGCCAGCTGACGTGCAGCTAAGGCTGCCGAGCTGTGGTGTCCAACGAGACCTACTGCGATACCCAACTAGCCACATTCTTCAAGCCAGCTAGCCCCACTCAACCATACAGGCTTTTTTCAACAGAGGCTTTGTCAACCGATACTGTCGACAAAGCCTCTGTCGAAAAAGAGCATCTAGACTCCAACCAGTTCTGTCGACAAAGCAAGCCGCTTTTTCGAAAGAGAGTGTAGACGCGCCAGAGTGAAAAAGCACAATGTGGACGCAAGGGCGCCTTTTCTCGACAGAACTCTGTAAAACGAGGTTTACCGCCGTCGACAAAACTAACTGTCCACAGAACTCGGCGGCAGTGTAGACGCAGGTATAGTTTAAACCCTGTAGTCTAGACACATAAGGATGCATCTACACGGCAAAGTGAGTCTGGAATCACTCTGCGAGCGTCTACACAGCCCTTCCGTTATTTCAAATCTTTTCGAAATAACGGACAGCTTTTTTCGACTTCCGTGAACCTCATTCTGCCAAGAATAATGCCTCTTCCGAAGTAGCTACGTCGAAATAAGGCTTGTGTAGACACTGCACTGCTGCTATTTCGAAACATCGCCTCTCTAGGACCGTGCTAAATTATTCCTCCTGGGGCTATCATTTGAGAGAGCACGTCTGCATTAGACTTTGGACTTATTTTGAAACTTCCCTGCAGCGTCGACATGCTATTTCGAAATAAGCTATTTCGGAAGAACGATTCCAGACTAGCTTATTCCGAAATAACTGTGCAGTGTAGCCATAGTCTAAGGCTGTAAAGCAAACTCCTGTTCTCTCTGTATCTGGTCTCACTGCCACTCAGGACGGTACCACACCCAGCAGGTGTATGTTACTCCGGCGTGGGGTGCTAGGTGTGGGGCAGAGGAAAGGGATTGGAACTCTTCCAATCGCCCCAGGAGAGGGTGGACGATTCTGAATGAAGAGTTTTCCTGCTCCCAGCTCGCTATGCAAATGCACTTCGAGGGGGGTAGATTCTGCTGCCCCTGGGAACCTATCTAATGGCTCCCGGGGTCATTGGATCATACGAGGGAGGTTGGAATGTGTGTCATGAAGTAACCGTGTAACCGCTGAAAATTGCAGGGCGGCCGTCGGCTCCCTGGGAGCTGGTGCGCACGGGGAGCCAGCTTTTAAGCCGTCTCCTTGCACGCCCCAGGAGCCTGCACGTAACCGTGGGTGCTTAACCCTTGGCCCATCCGTTAGCCATGTACAGGGTAACACCTTCACAGCCTGAGATCACAGGGGTCAAGAGTGAAAATCCGGATCGATGAAGAACCCCGCCCTGGATTCCAGTCTGAACCTCGCCCAGGGACAGGGCCCGGGAGGGGGAGGGCGGGG